CGCATGACCTATTATATCCAGCAATCCATATGGGGACTGAAAACTTTGCAATGATGACAATTACTGAAGATATGAATCAACTAAAATAGTTGACAGGGACAATTCTTCCATCTTTGAAAATATCTACATCAAATCTGTTTAAATAGATTTTCATCTGCATAATATAACACATTCTGACAAGACCACCACCACCACCAATGTGGTCAGTGTTGTGACGATAAATGTTTAATAACTGAGGGGCCCCCCCACCAAGTGCACAAATTTTTGTGCACCAGGCTACTAGTATATATATATATAATTCATATAAATAGAATCATATTGATTCTATTTCTTTGGAGAACCCTGGCTAATGCAGATTTTGGTACTTGGAGTGGTTATAGAGAAACAGAATTTTAAGGATGAATTTCTTGAATTGGTTCTGGAGTTTTTGAAATATCTCTCTAATATGATCAGATTTAAAGATCCTAATGTCTCTATTTCCAGTAGAAAGGAGAGCACTGGTAGTCCATGGTGTAAGCTGTCTATAGAAATAAGCAAAATTTGTACTGGATACTCCCACTTAACCATTTATAAGAAGCAACGAGCTAAGTGACTCTGTATATGATATTTTCAAATATTTCAGAAAAGGAAGGAATACAGTGACATTAATTAGTTGCTCCTAATGTTACTGGACAAAGTGGTGAAAGAAAAGGATGCGCTCAAGGATTCACATTCCCAGCCAAAGTGCAGCGTCAATGACCGGAGAGCTGCCATTGGGCCCTGAGGAAGAGTCTCCTCTCCTGCAGCCACAGGGCCGAAATTGCGGAAAATTGCAGAACATCATGCTGAGATTGGCTAAATTACAACGCCGGTTGAACTCTCAGCCTGGCAGAGTGTCTGCTGTTAAATTGAGGGCATTGATTGGAAAAGAATGAGATCCTGTAAGTTGGGCTGGGATGTGTGAGAAGATCCTGAGGAAGCTGGGAATATTGAGCCCCTAAATCGTGATGGTTCTTCTTAGCCAGTAGGAGAGGTCTCCCACCCACTGTGGAATTGGCCTCCCCACCCCAGGAGAAACAGTCTCTTCATCTCAGCCTGAAAAAATCAATCCAGTATGCAATGGTAATGACCCCTCCTGAGTCAGTTGCCATGCAAGACAATGCTGATTCTCCTCAGGACCCATCCCATCTCCCTTTTTGCTTCTAGATCTATTAGACTCACATCCCAGCAGGCCCCTAAAGGGAAGGCATAAAATGTGACCGGTGAGGAAGTGTGTTGCATCCCAAGAGAACTACTTGAGTTTTCTCATTTATGCAGACAGAAATCCAGGGAATAGCCATGGGAATGAATACTGACACATGGGATAATGGTGACATTAACATAAAGTTGGGTCAGGCTGAATTGATTGATATGGGCTCTCTAAGCAGAGATTTTTGCATTTAACATTGCACTTGGGAAGTTAGAAAGGGCTCTAACAGTTTGTTTCTAACAGAAAGTCACAGCCCCTCAATCCACTCCCAGACTTGAGCCAGTTTATAGACCTAGAGCTCCTTGAATGAAGGGAAAGCCAGGTCCTCTTAAGGAAGGCTCTCAGCTCACTACCAAAAATGTATCCTGTTTATCCTTCTCCCAGCCTTCCCCAAAGGGACCTGAGGCCTTCTAGGAGGGTGACTGTACACTGGGGATGAGGAAATAATCAGGCCTTCCAGGGACAATTAGACACTGGCTCTGAATTGGCACTGATTCCAAGAGACTCAAAATGTCACTGTGACACTTCAGAAGAGAGGTTTATGAGGGTCAGGTGACCAAAGAATTTAAGCTCAGGTTCATCTCACAGTGGGTCCCTGAACCCATCCTACGGTTATCCCACCAGTTCCAGAATGCATAATTAGAATAAACCAGACAGAATTCTCACATCCTGTAGAGTGAGGGCTACTATGATGAGGAAGGCCCAGGGGAATCCATTAGAACTGTCTCTACCCAAGAAAATAAAAGTAACACCACATTCCTAGAGGGGTTTCAGAGATTAGAGCCACCATCAAGGACATGAAAGATACAGGAGTAGTGAATCTCTGCACATCCCCATTCAACTCTCCTATTTGTCCTGTGCAGAAGACAGATGAATCTCAAAGAATGACAGTGGATTATTGTAAGCTTAACCAGGTGGCAACTCTGATTGCAGCTGCTGTACCAGCTGTGGTTTCATTGCTTAAGCAAATTAACACATCCCCTGATGCCTGGTATGCAACTGTTGATCTATTTTTTTCTCCATCCCTGTCCATAAGACTCACTAGAGCAGCTTTCTTTCAGCTAACAAGGCCAGCAATACAACTTCACTGTCTTACCTGAGAAGTATATCAACTCTCTAGCCCTACGTCATAATTTAGATCTCAGGGATTTTGATTGCCTTTACCTTCCATAAGATAGCACAGGGGTCCATTACACTGATGACATTATGCTGATTGGACCTAGTAAATGAGAAATGGCAACTGTTTTAGACTTATTGGTAAGCCATTTGCATGTCAGAAGATGGGAAGTAAACCTGATTAAAATTCAGGGGCCTTCTACCTCAGTGAAATTTCCAAGGATTCCTTGTGTGGAGCATATTAAAATACCCCTTCAAAGGTGAAGGGTAAGTCACCTGGGCCAGGTGGATAAGTTGGTTGGAGAGTCATCCCATATACCATGAAGGTTACAGCTTCAATTCCCAATCAAGGCACAAACCCAGGTTGTGGGTTTGATCCAGGTTAGGGTGTGTATGGGAGATAAACAATCGATGTGTCAATTTGGGCACAGGGATGCCCAGATAGCTGATAATGGATTGTTTTTGGATGTGTCTGTGAAGAGATTAGTATTTGAATCAGTAGGCTGAGTAAAGATTGCTCTCACCAATGTACTGAGGGCCGGAACAGAACTAAAAGGTAGAGGAAGAGCAAATTTTCTCCCTTTGCTTGAGCTGAGACATCCATCGTCTGCTGCACTGGGACATGGTGCTCCTGATCCCCAGGCCTTCAAACTCAGACTGAATCACACCACCAACCTTCTTGGTTCTCCAGATTAAAGAAGGCAGATTGTGGCTTCCATAATCATACTATAGGTCCAGTGCATGAAATTTATGCACCAGTAGGGTCCCTAGTGGCTGCCAGCTGCTGGCTGGGGCCTTCCTTTGTTCTGCACACCCAACTGGTGGTCAGTGCACATCATAGCAAGCGGTCGAGCTCCTGGTTGGTCGAACTCCAGCATAAGGGGGCAATTTGCATATTAGGCTTTTATAGATATACTAGAGGCCTGGTGCACAAAAATTTGTGCACTCCGGGGGGTGGGGAGGGGGTCCCCCAGCCTGGCCTGTGCCCTCTCACAGTCTGGGACCCCTAGGGAGATAACGACCTGCTGGCTTAGGCCTGCTCCTGGGTGGCAGAGGGCAGGCCCAATCCCTAAGTGCAGCCCCTGGTCAGGCTCAGAGCAGGGCCGATTGGGGAGTTGGGGCGCTGCCCCGTCATGCACAGAGCAGGGCGGATCGGGAGGTTGCAATGCCACCCTCAGTCACGCTCAGGGTAGGGCCGATTGGGGGGTTGGGGCACCGCCCCCTGTCACACACAGAGCAGGGCGGATCAGGGGGTTGGGG